GAGACTCCTAAAGCTCTAGGATTTGTTTTGCTGCTGGTACAACCACAGACTTTGGGGATTCCTGCTACCCCACAGTGTCCCTGACATGCCTCCAGAATCTGGGCTGACAAAAGCAATATTCTCATCCCTGGGACACAGTTAAAGTACCTGAAAGCTTTTTTTAAAAAAATATTTAGGCCCCGACCTTCTGGTTGGCTGCTAACCAGAAAGTCAGCGGTTCAAACCCACTAGCTACTCTATTGTTGTTATGTGCCGTCGAGTTGGCCCCCGACTCATAGTGACCCCTTCTGGGGTTTCCGAGGCAGTATCACTGAGGAAGTAAGTAGATTGCCCCATCTTCCTTCCGAGGAGTGGCTGGTGGGTTTGAACCACCAGCCTTCTGGTTAGCAGTCAAGTGCCTTAGGCACTATGCTACACTGCAGGAGGAAAATAAGGCAGTCTACTTCTGTACAGCCTTGGAAACGCAATGGGATCACTGTGAGTCGGAATAGACTCAATGGCAGTGGGTGGTGAGTTGGTCCCATCCCAGGGATTCTGATTCAGTTGATATGGGCATAGTTCTTTTTTTAAAGATCTTTTTTAGAAGCTCCCCCGGAAGACGGTAAAGTATGGCTAGGCTTGAGAACCACTGGACTGGAAAGGTGAGCTGAAGGAGCCTCCTGACTGAGGATGAAGTTCATGCATGGTTTACTCAGATACTGCAGAGGCCAGAGTGAAGAGATGCAAATAAATTGTTATTGGACTACAGCTCTCAATCCTAGTTTTAGTGAACAGAGATGTATATGCTTTTCTGGGGCTCAGCTACCTTAGAGTTCCCTGATTAAGTTCTCCAACCTTGGTAATATATGATTATCATGGAATTTCCTATTATTAATTTGCCCTGTGTTGTATTTATGGGGCTGTTTGGGAGGCAGCTGGGCTCGGAAGCCTGAACACCTTCACATTTTAAGGTTAGGGAATTTAGATACAAGGTCCTTAAATTAGGGGCTGGCCTTTTTGTCTATTCTCTAACCTGGCACTTAGCCTTTAGTCTCGGGATGTTTGGAGTTTCAAGCAGGCAAAAGAAGAAAGGTGTTTTAGGTAGAGAGAACAGAATAATAAAAGGCACAGAAGTCAAGAAAAGCATGCTGAGAGTGAAAAATTATGAGCAATTTTTGTTTTGTTTCAAACTTGTCCATCAGTTTGTGATCCTGTGAGGGCTTGTGTGTTGCTGTGAAGCTGGAGGCTATGCCACCAGTGTTTCAAATACCAAGAGGGTCACCTACGGTGAATAGGTTTCAGCAGAGTTGACAGACTGGGAAAAGGAAGGAGCCATCAAGTCTTAAAGAATTGGCCAGTGAAAACCTTGCAAATTGCAGTGAAACACTGTCTGATACAATACTGGAAAACTTTATGAATAGCCGTGAAACACTATCTGATACAGTGCCAGAAGATGAGTCCCGAGGGTCAGAAGGCACTCAAAATACAATGGGGGAAGAGCTGTCTGCTCCATGTAGAGTCAAAGCTTTGGGACCTCCATTTGCTGATGGGACACAACTCAGAATGGGAAGAAACAGCTGCAAGTATCCATTAATAATCAGAATGTGGAATATACGAAGTATGAATCTTAGGAGAATTGGAAGTTGTCAAAAATGAAGTGGAATGCATAAAGATCAATATCCTAGGCAGTGAGCTGAAATGCTGGTTTTGGCCATTTTGAATCAGACAGCCATATGATCTACTATGCCAGGAATGACAAAGTGAAGAGGAATGATATCACATTCATTGTCACAAAGAATGTTTCAAGATCTATCCTGAATTACAGTCGTTTCAGTGATAGAATAATATCCATATGCCCACAGAGAAGACCAGTTAATACTATTATTTAAATTTATACACCAACCACCAACGTCAAAGACAAGGAAATTGAAGATGTTTACCAACTTCTGCAGTCTGAAATTGACCAAATATGCAATTAAGATGTATTGATTATCACTGGTGATTAGAATGTGAAAGTTGGAAACAAAGAATAATCATGGGAAAATATGGCCTTGGTGATAGAAATGATGCTGGAGATCACACGATAGAATTTTGCAAGATCAATGACTTATTCATTGCAAATACCTTTTTTCATCAATATAAGTGGTGGCTATTAACATGGACTTTGCCAGATGGAATACACAGGAATCAGATAGACGACATCTATGGAGACAGGCTATGGAGAAGCTCCGTATCTTCAGTCAAAACAAGGCCAAGAGCTGACTGTGGAACAGACCATCAATTGTTCATATGTGAGTTCAAGTTGAAGCTGAAGAAAGTGAAAACAAGTCCACGAGAGCCAAAATATGGACTTGATTGTATCCCAGCTGAATTTAGAGACCATCTGAAGAATAGATTTGACACACTGAACACCAGTGACTGAGAACTAGACAAATTGTGGGATGACATCATGAACATCATCCATGAAGAAAGCAAAAAGGTCATTAAAAAGTTAGGAAAGGAAGAAAAGACCACCAAAATGGATGTCAGAAGGAACTCTGAAACTTGCTCTTGAATGGAGGGTAGCTAAAGGAAATGGAAGAAATGATATGGTAAAAGAATGAAACAGAAGATTTTGAAGAGCAGCTCAAGAAGACACAGTGTATTATTATAGTAAGATGTATAAAGACCTGGAATTAGAGAACAAAAAGGGAAGAACATGCTCAACATCTCAACCTGAAAGAATGGTAGAAAAAACTTAATCCTCAAGTTGCAATATTGAAAGATTCTATGGGCAAAATATTGAATGATGCAGGAAACATCAAAAGAAGATGGAAGGAATACACAGTCACTGTACATAAAATAATTGGTCGGTGTTCAGCTATTTCAGGATGTAGCATATGATTAAGAACCAAAGGTATTGAAAGAAATCGAAGCTGCACTGAAGGAATTGGAGAAAAACAAGGCTCCAGGAATTGACAGAATACCCATTGAGATGCTTCAACAAATGGATACCGCACTGGAGGTGCTTACTCATCTATGCCATGTAATTTGGAAGACAGCTACCTGGCCACCTGACTGGAAGAGGTCCATATTTGTACCCGTTCCAGAGAAAGGTGATCTAACAGAATGTGGAAATTATCAAACAATGTCATTAGTATCACACAAGTAAAATTTTGCTGAAAATAATTAAAAAACTTACAGCAGTATATTGACAGGGAACTTACAGAAATGCAAGCTGAATCTAGAAAAGGACGTGACATGAAGGATATCATTGCTGATGTCACATAGATCTTGGCTGAAGGCAAAGAATGCCAGAAAAATGTTTACTTGTATTTTATTGACTATGCGAAAGCATTCAACTGTGTGAATCATAACAGATTATGGATAACTTTGAGAAAAATGGAAATTCCAGAACACTTAAATGTGCTTATAAGGAACCTGGAGATTCCTCCAGGAGGAACCAGACCAGAAGGCTGCCGTTTGAACAGAACAAAGGGATACTTCTTGTTTTAAAATCATAATGGATATGTGTCAGTGTTGTATCCTTTCTCCATATTTATTCATCTGTATGCTGAGCAAATAATCTGAGAAGATGGACTATATGAAGAAGAATTGGATTGGATTAAACAACCTGTGACATGAAGATGACACAACTTTGCTTGTTGAAAGTGAAGATGACTTGAAGCACTTACTGATGAAGATTAAAGTCTACAGTCTGCAGTGGATTCCATCTCAACATAAAGAAAACAAAAATCCTCTCAACTGGACCAATAAGAATCACAATAAATGGAGAAAAGATTTAAGTTGTCAAGCGTTTTCATTTTACTTGGATCCACAATCAACACCCATGGAAGCAATGGTCAAGAAATCAGATGTTCTATTGCACTGGCGAATCTGCTGCAAAAGGCCTCTTTAAAGTGCTGAAGGGCAAAGATGTCCTTTGAAGACTAACCACGCAATAATATTTTTCAGTTGCCTCATATTCATGTGAAAGCTGGACATTGAATAAGGAAAACCGAAGAAGAGTTGATGCTTTTGAGTTGTGTTGGTGAAGAATACTGAAAGTACTATGGACTGCCAGAAGAACTAACAAATCTGTCCTGGAAGAAATACAGCTGGAATGCTTCTTGGAAGTAAGAATGGCCTGACTACGTCTCACCTACTTTGGTCATGTTTTCAGAAGGGGCCAGTCCCTGGAGAAGGATATCGTGCTTGGTAAAGTGGAGGGTCAACAAAAGAAGGGAAGGCCCTCAATGAGATGGATTAACACAGTGACTGCAACAATTAGATCAGGTATAACAAGAATTGTGAGGTTAGCACAGGATTGGGCATTGTTTCATTCTGTTGTACATAGGGTCGCTATGAGTTGGAGCCAACTTGACAATACCTAACAACAATAACAACAGGTCAAATTGCTTAGCTCTTGATATCGTTATGGTAAAATTTAAAGTGAGGTGGTAGAAGAAGAGACTGTGAAGGGGTAGGTTGCCATCAGGTAATAGAAGACTTTGTATACCATTCTAGGTGTGCTTGGATACATCTGTGTAGTTGGGAGCCATTGGCAGATTTTAAGCAGACTCCTTAGAGGCATGGTCAGATTTGCCGTTTGGCATGGTGGAATGTAGACTTTAGAAAATGATACAAAAAGCATGGTTGGAGGACTGGAGGTATATTATGTGAGAGAGATAGACAATGAAGACTGAATTGAAGTAGTGGTAGTAGAGATGGAGCAGAGAGGATAGATTTGAGAAACAGTTAAGCACTAAAATTGGCAGAACTTGATGACTGGTTGGATGTGGGTTAGGGAGATGAAAGAATCTAGGATGACTGCAAAGAGTCTGGCTTGGTTTCTCTAACAGAGACTCAAAATCTAGAACAGCAAGTTTGGGAAATAGGTGTGGGGAGAAGAGTTCAGTTTTAGACCAACAGGGTTTGAAGTCTATCCAGCAGGCGGGTAGATATGAGATTGAAGCTCAGGAACACAGAGAGGCATGTGAAGATTTGAGGTAATTTGAGGTTTGGTTTTGGTCTCTAAAACCATGAAAGAAAATGAGATCAAAGGAAAGGTATAAGGGCATGAGTTAAACCTTGGGGGACAGCAGTGTTGACAGGGGACAGAGGAAAAGGAGAAACATAAATTTTGAGACTACTTTACCTCATACAATTCATAAAAAAACACCTGATAATTTTTCAGGTGTGGAATTTTCTAGGTTCTGCTAGAATAAGGAGCTCTGGTGGCTTAGTGCCTAAGGCATTTGACTGCTAACCAGAAGGCTGGCAGTTCAAACCCACTAGCCAATCCTCGGAAGGAAGACTGGGCAATCTACTTCCATGGTGATACCGCCTCGGAAACCCACAGAGGGGTCGCTATGAGTTGGAACCAACTTGAAAGCTGTGAGTTTGGTTTTGGTTTTTTGGAGGTAGTAGAATAAAGAGTCATGATGGTATGTATTCAAAATGGCAGTTCCAAATTCTTTCCTCTTCTATTGTAGGTTCACTTTTTTGACTGAGCTTTTGGTTGGATAGGGCCAGTCTTTAATTGTCTTATTTAAGTTTGCCTTTTAAGTGATATCAAATGTTTTGTAGTTCTTACTAAACAATTTAAACCAAACCAAAACTCACTGCCATCGAGTTGGTTTCGACTCATAGCAATCCCTCCTTGGGTTTCCTAGGCAGTATCTCTATGAAAGTAGATTGCCCTTAAAATGCTATGCAGTTTTTGAGAAAGATGCACAGCACTTAAGAAAATCAGTGTGGAATCCTGTATTAGAGTACTAGTGATGATGGGTCTTGTTCTCTCCTGTTTTTATTTATTTATTTATTTAGGCAAGTCTTATGCTGAAGAAATGTCACTTAAAAAAAAAAAAAAAAAAGCTTATATTTAGCTTTATGCATCTACTCTATATTTAAAGTTTGGTGGTTCAAATCCAGCAGCTGTTTGGTGGGAGAAAGAGAATGCAGTCTGCTTCAGTAAAGATTTACAGCCTTGGAAACCCTATGGGGCAGTTCTACTCTGTCTTATTTGGTCACTATGAGTCATAATTGACTTGACTTGATAGTAGTGAGTTTGGTTTGGGTTTTACACAGTTGTTACATACTAATTATCTCAATTTCACATTGGTTAATGGGTCAGAATTGACTTGACAGTGGCTTAGGATTTGTTTGTGTTTTTTTTTTTTTTTTGCACAGGGGGAAAAAGCCAAAAACCAGTTGCCACTGAGTCAGTTACTACTCATGGTGACCCGTAGAGTTTCCAGTGGCAGATTTTTTTGGAAGTAGATTGCCAGACCTTTTCTTATGACATGCCTCTGGGTGGACCAAAAACTTCACCCTTTTTGTTAACAGCCAAGTACATTAACTATTTGTACCACCCAGGGACTCCAGTGAAAGAGTAGTTGGTGACTAATACTTAACCTGAAATAGGCTTCCATTTTCTACTTGGATAGGTTCTTTCCTCTAGACTATCCTCCATGTTGCTATTATAATTGTCTTTTAAAAATCACTTACTATTCTAGTGGTAAGATTAGTGTGGAATGAAGACTTAAGTTGACACAGTAAGAACATGGAAATGCTTGGGTGAGAGGCCGGCAGGGGGACCCAGCGGGCAATGTGTACCCCCACAGCACCCAAGTTCTCCTGCCTGTGAAAAGGAAGTCTCCAGCCACTGACAAAGCCATTTTGAAGTCATTGAGGGGATGAACCAGAGCCACTTTTCCTGAAAATACACTGAGGGCAGGAGAAGGAGGGAACACCAGGGAAGGGGAGGGCAACACTTGGGCCACACTGGATCTGAAAGACTGGGTGGCCCTCCCCTGTGGGCAGTAGTAGTAGAGTCCAAGCTCTCCTGTGGTGACTTGGGGGCAGGGGAGATGGCAGTGACAGGTGACCTCAGCAGGGGCCCAGATGACATTAATAGTACAGGTGAGGGGATGAGGTGATGTGGTCATCTTCCATTTTCACATAACACTAATTTTCACATAATGACCTGGTGTTTGGAACCTTACCATGTCAAGAAGTGAGAAGTGGGTAGAGAATAAGTTAAAATGAGTATTTATGTCTTAAAAAAAAAACAAAACAAAAAAACACCTCACTGCCATTGAGTCAGTCCTGACTCATAGCAACCCTCCTTGAAATTCTGAGGCAGTATCTCTACGGAAGTAGGTTGTCCAGTCTTCCTTCTGAGGAGTGACTTGTGGGTTTGAACCACCAGCCTTCTGGTTAGTAGTCAAATGCTTTAGGTGCTTTGTGTCCAAAAAATAAGACATATATCTTATTTATGTCTAGCTCTAAGTAAGCAAATCTCTACTGGTATCAAACAAGACCATGCATGAACTTTCAGCTAATGTTTCAGATGCAAGTTGTAAAACGCAGTGCTTATTTTTTTACTTTTGTGCTTTAGTCAAAGAAAAAAGGACTAAGTGCAGAGGAAAAGAGAACTCGCATGATGGAAATATTTTTTGAGACGGTAAGTAATTTTCCCTAAGATTTTTAGTATTTTGCATAATTTTTACATTAAGTATATGTCATATCTTATTAATTGCACCTTCTTCATTAAAGATCTATATTGAGAAATTTCCTAAAGAATGGATGAAATTGAAGTGACAGTACCAGGAATTAAACCCAGGGAGGATTGCCTCATTTTACAGTCACTGCTATATATTGCCTCTTATTATAAATTTGTCTCTAGTGTAATGGTACACAGACTGCTTAATTCAGTACAGGTATTTGTGCCTACCACTAACAGGAAATATGTTTGAAGTTTTTGTTTGTTTTTTTAAATTGTGATTTGGGTGAAAGTTTACAGGGCAGATTCATTTTCCATACAGCAGTTCATACACATTTTGTTTTATGATATTGACTACAATTCCCTACAATGTACAGCTCTTTTCTCACTTCCTTTCTGTAGTTACCTCTTCCCTGTGTCTTTTCCTATGCATTCCTTCTCCCTGAGCTGTCTCCCTGTGCAAATACTGCCCTTCTGTTCTCCCATTATTGATCCTTCTAAGAAGTATATCTACCTGATGTATTTACCCTATATGCCTGTCTCTTGTTTGGCTGGAAGCCATGGGAGTGAGTTCAATTCCAGACCTGAAGGGTAACTGTTGTTGTTGTTGTTGTTATGTGCTGTCGAGTCAGACCCGACTCATAGCGACCCCTCCTTGGATTTCCGAGGCAGTATCACTACAGAAGTAGATTGCCCTAGCTTCCTTCCAAGTAGTGGCTGGTGGGTTTGAACCACCAGCCTTCTGGTTAGCAGTCAAGTGCCTTAGCCACTCTGCAGAAGAAAGAGTGGGCAATCTACTTTCATAAAGATTTACTGCCTCGGAAACCCAGTAGGGGTTGCTGTGAGTCAGAATTGACTCAGTGACAGTGGGTTTCGTTTTGGTTTTGTCATGGGGAAATGTTCATGATGTAATATTAAGTAGAAAATGCAGAATTCAAACAAATGTAATGCACTATGATTACAAATACTAACAGTGATAGGATTTCAGGTAGATTTTTTTACACTTTATTTTGTCAGTTTCTGACCATAAACATATTGTGTTGTCAGTTGCTGACACATGGCTATCCAGTTTGTGCAGAATAGAACTGTATTTCATAGAATTTTCAAGGCTATGACCTTTTGGAGAAAGAATGGCAGACTTTACTTCCAGGGTACCTCTGTGTAGGTTTGAACTGCCAACCTTTTAGTTAGTAGTCCAGCACTTAACCATTTGGGCCACACAGGGGCTCCTACAATGACCATATTTTACCTTTATGATCACATTAAAAGTCAACAAACATGGCACCACACATGTACTTTGTTGTTGTTGTTAGATGCCGTCGAGTCACCTCTGACTCATAGAGACCCTATGCACAGCAGAACGAAACACTGCCTGGTCTTGGGCTAGCTTCACGATCCCTGCTATACTTGACCCCACAGCCGCAGCCGCTGTGTCAGTCCATCTTGTTGAGGGCCTTTCCCTCCTTCCTTGACCCTCTACCTTATTAAACATGACATCCTTCTCCAGGGAATGGTCCCTTCTGACAACATGACCAAAGTAGGTGAGATGAAGTCTGGCCATTCTCGCTTCTAAGGAGCATTCCTGCTGCACTTCCTTCAGGACAGATTTGTTAGTTCTTTTAGCAGTCCATGGTACTTTGAGCATTCTTCGCCAGCACCACAACTCAAAAGCATCAACTCTTCTTCGGTCTTCTTTATTTTATTCATTGTCCAACTCTCACATGCATATGAGGCAATTAAAACTATCATAGCTTGTGTCAGGCACGCCTTTGTCTTCAGGCAGACATCTTTGCTCTTAAGCACTTGAAAGAGGTCCCTTGCAGCTGACTTGTCCAGTGCTATATATACATCGTCTGATGTCCTGACTGCTACTTCCATTGGGATCAATTGTAGAACCAAGCATTGTGAAGTCTTTGACAACTTCAATCTTTTCTCCATTTATCGTGATGCTGCCTATAGGTCCAGTTATGAGGATTTTTGTTTTCTTTATATTGAGATGTAATCCATACACACACGTACTATGCTGCCTCTAACTATAAGTGGGCATCCTTGAAATTTTAGGAATCTTTTCAAGAGACAGTCAAGGACTATTTGAGGCACAAAATATAGGCCCAATGAGCATTTATTGATTTTTTTTTCTAAAAATTAGCTGAGCAGAAACTTAAATGAGTAGTTCTTCATTGGCACACAAGTCTCTTTGGAATGGCCAGGACTATACCCAGAGAATTTTATTTATTTATATATTTGAAACTACTAAAAGAAAAAGAATACTTTGCCCATTGCAGAACATGGGAGCAGTACAACTCAATGGGTTGAAAGCATACATCTGGAGTCTGTTTTACCTAATAACTGTGTGACCTTGAACAAGTTATTTAAACTCTCAATTTCCTTAATTAAACCAGTTCCCTTCGAGTCTATTCTGACTAATGGGGACCCTATGAGTATAGAGTAAAATTGTACTCCATAGGGTTTTCAAGGCTCAGATCTTTTTCAAAAATACCACTTGGCCTTCCTTCTGAGGCTCTGAGAGGATTTGAACTGCCAATCTTTAGTAGTTCAGCATTTAACAGTTTGTGCTATCCAGGGTCTCCATCTATTAGAGAAGATAATAAGGAGTACCCAACTCACAGTGTTGCTATGAGATTAAATGAGATGGTCTATGAAAAGTATTAAATGTAAAACGTTGCAATGCCTAAATCATTTAAAGTACTTATGTTATCTGATATTTTAACTGTGTTATCCGTGTTATTTTACACATTTATAGCTTTTATAAAGAGCTAGAAACATTTTTTCATCTCTCCTTTACTATGTCTACTTTAATGCTGGGAGTTTTAAGAACTAAGATTTACGTCAGACCTGTGGTAGTTAAGGTTATGTGTCAACTTGGCTGGGCCTGGTCGAGTAGCTGGGCAGCTGGTGGTAGTTATTCCTCATGATGAGACTGGCAATCACCTCCATGGTGATATCTACCACAAGCAGCTGAGTAGTGGCTTTAGGGATGTGGTCTGCTTCCCATATATAAGAAGCAAATTTGTTTTGGAAGAAATGGATCCTAGATTTCTGTTACAATCAGCATCACAATTCTGTCGAAGTTATCAAGTACATTAGCCTTTTCAAATATTTCTCTTTTATTATCCAAGTTCTTTTCACCAATTTAACCAAGGCTTATTACAAGAAGAAAGTTGTACTTTAAATAGATTTTTTCCAACTGTAAGATTAAATATTTTACATGCATATCTTTCCATAATGTTTTGCTTTACATATGGTAGACATATACTGTATATAGACAAATGATTAATGGGCAGCCATGAGTTGCATAATTTTCCTATTGTTTAGGTATGGCTCTTCCATGAAACCTTAAATGTAAACAGTTCTTGACAGTTATTTGTTTTGCTTTTAGTTATAAATACTAAATCTGTGAAGTGTGTGCTAAGCAATACACTATGTTTTCTTAAAATCAGAGTGTTAGAGAAGCTACTTACCTTATGTTAATAAATGATCCATCATAACCAGTTTTTACATTTCAGTGGGAAGGTATTCTTTATGTTGTGATCTCCAAGTGCTTTAAGAAATTATATTTTCATGTAAAAGTGTGCATTTAAAGTTCTGTTCAAAGTATTAAATAATCGTGAAATTTCTTATAGCTCTAAAATGCTTAGATTTTACTGCATTGTTCATTTTCAGGCCTACATTTTTTAGAACAATATTTTATGAATACTGTTATGGTAAATATGTACAATGAAGAATAGATACATGATTTTGATCTTTTGAAAACTTTTTTAAACAGAAAGATGTATTTCAACTAAAAGACATGGAGAAGATTGCTCCCAAAGAAAAAGGCATTAGTAAGTATCAAAGATGGACTGAAATACTTGGGGAAATATTGGTCACCTTTTCTATAGAGAATATAAATTTCTACAAATGAAGATTATTTTTAAAAGTCTACATGAAAAAATTAAAAAACAAAAGTCTGCCTGGTATCTGTGGGCCATAGCCACTGCTCTTTGGAATATCTGCTCTAGGAAAATTAAAATACATTACACACATACACATACACAATATATGCACATTATTTATGGATACTTCAAAAGAAGTAAAATTTGCTCATGAATCTTCTGGTATTTGTTAAATGTGACTTTGAGTCTTTACATGGTGTATTAGTTTCCTAAGGCTGCTTCTGTAACAAATTACCACAATGTTGGTAGCTTAAAACAACAGAAATGTATTATTTCATTGTTTTGGTGACCAGAAATGTGAAATCAAAGTGTGGGCAGGATTAATTCCTTCTGGAGGCTCTGAGGGAAAATTTGCCCCTTGCTTCTCTTCTAGCTTCTCCTTGGCTTGTAGACATATCACTTTAATCTCTGCCTTCTTCCTTGCTATCTCTTATAAGGACATATGTCATTGGATTTAGGACCCAAAATCCAAGATGATCTCCTTTTCAGATCCTTAAATTAATCATATCTGCAGAGGCCCTTTTTCCAAATAAGATCACATTCACATATTTCAGGAGGTTATGTTAGAACTTGGATATGTTTTTTTGCAGACCATTATTCAACCACTTCACGTGGTGTATTTATTTTTTTAAACCACTCTGATTATATAAATTATATATGTTTATTTTAACAAACTTGGAAACCATAGAATAATTTAATAAAGAATATAAAAGTTGCTCACAGTCGCTATTCTCAGAGAACCACTATTAACGTATCTGTCCATCTCTGAGGGGACCATGCTGCTTACCTAGTTTTGTACAGTTTTGTGTTCATGTATTTTTAATATAAAATTATCATCTATATTTACTCATGCCATTTGATTTTAAAAAGTACATACACAATTTGCAGCATCTGTATTTCCTAATACTGTGTTCTGTGACCACCCACCATACTATAATTGTTTACCTTTTAGCTGTTGTTGAGCATCTATGTTGTTTCCAAATTTTGCTGCTACAAATAATGTTGTGATTTATATACTGTCCACAAATGTTTCCCCATATTTTGTATTACTTCATTAGGAAATTTCCTTAAAAATAGACTAACTGAGAAAACCAAACTCATTGCTGTTGAGTGATTTCTGACTCATAGCGACCCCTCCTTGGGTTTCCGAGGTGGTATCTCTACGGAAATGGATTACCCAACCTTCTTCCTGGGTTTGAACCACCAGCCTTCTGGTTACCAGTCATATGCCTTAGGCGCTATGCCACCAGAGCTCCTAGATCAGAAATTTGTATAGTTGTTTGGTTTAGTATATGTATTCTCAAATTTCCTTCCAGAGAACCCTGTTAACCAGCCAGTTCCATCAAGTTGACTCCAATTCATGGCTACTTCATGTTTTTTGAAGTAGAACTATGCCCCATAGGATTTTCAATGGCTAATTTTTCAAAAGTAGATCACCAGGCCTTTCTTCTGAGGTACCTCTGTGTGGACTCAAATTTCCAGCCTTTCAGTTAGCAGCCAAGCACAGTAACCATTTGTACCACCCAGGGACTCCAACTTCCAGAAAGGCTGTGCCAATATATATTCACACTTAATTCATAGAACTGTGTTTTCAATTTTAGAATTCATTGGAATGTAATAGATTAAGAATTGGCATCTTATTTTAGTTTCTATTTCTTCACAAGTGAGGTTGAATATTTCACTCTGATTTAATTTCTTTATTAAATTTAAAGCAATTTAAATTTTTTTTATAATTTTTTGCTGTATTTGGAGATCTACTCTAGGAAAAATTTAAAATGGATATTAAAACATAAATGTGTTTCTTGGTATACTTTTACTTCTTCAAATATTTGTTAAATGGTACTTGGCATCTTTACATGATATTTTAAAAACTTTTTCTGATTTCTAATCTTAACCCTAAGCATAGCATCCAGTTTATTTATTGTTTAGTCTTTCATAATAGCTTCTCTAGTTTTAGTCTTAACAAAAAAGTGGTACATGTTCATTGTTTAAAAATAAGAGAAATGAGCAAAAAAGAAGGAAATAAAAATTGTCTATTACCTACCATCCAAGAGAAGTACTGTCAACACATTAGTGCCCACTGTTTCTTAACTTTATTTTTTCTGTATGATGAATTTTGGATATATTTCTGTATAACCTTTTTGTATAATACATTTTGAATATATTTCCATGCCATTAAATATTACTTTATAATATAAATTTAATGATTGCTGGATATTTGATTTCAAAATAGTACTTTGCCAGCATCCTGTTTATTATCAATCATTATTTTCTTTAGCTGACTTCATAAAAGTGGAATTTCCATGTTAAAAAGTATATGTGTTTCTAAAGTTTTAAATACATATTGTCAAATTTTTGTACTCATGTATAACAGTGTGTATGTATGAATCCTGTAGTATGTTTTTTAGTGTTTTTCATTTTGGTAGTCAAGAAGTCATTTTATTGCTTTATTTTACATATATTTGATTATTAGTGGGGTTGCTCATTTTTCTTGTTTTTCAGCCATGTATATGTATTTTGTAACTATCTTACTGTGTTTCTATTGGAGTATTTGTCTTCTTATCATTGTTACTTATTTTTAAGAGCTCCTTACTTACCAACTCTTTATCTATAATATTTGTTGCAAGTGGTTCCCCAGCTTTTTGCCTTTTAATTTTATTTCTGGTCTTAACATATAGTTTTTAAAAATTATTTCTCTTAGCTGCTATGTCAGTTAAAGAAGTGCTTCAAAGCTTAGTGGATGATGGTTTGGTTGACTGTGAAAGAATTGGAACATCTAATTACTATTGGGCTTTTCCAAGTAAAGCTCTTCATGCAAGGAAACAGAAGTTGGAAGTTCTAGAATCTCAGGTAAGTCACCACAATTAAAGATAATAGATTTACATTACAACAAAGAGATTTGCTTTGTTTAATGCTCTTTTTGTTTAGTGGCTTCACTTTGATTTTTCACATGCATTATTTGACTCAAAGTCTAAAGATTATCAGTATCTCTACCCTTCATCCAAACCATATGAGAAGCTTAGATTTATTTATTTTTTCATTTTTATTGTGATTTGGGTGAAAGTTTTAGAGAGCAAATTCATTTTCCATATAGCGATTCGTACACGTTTTGTTTCATAACATTGACTGCAATTCCCCACAATGTAACAGCTCTCTTCCCACTTCCTCCCCATAAGGTTACCTTTTCCCTGTGGCCTTGCCTCTCATGTACTCCCACCTCCTGAGCTATCATCTTCCTGTGCAAACACTGCCCTTCTGTTCTACCACGATTGATCACTCTGAGTGTATTTGCCTGATATAAATGGTCACTCCATATGCCTGTCTGTTATTTGGCTGGGAGCCACAGGACTGAGTTCAGTTCCAGACCTGAAGGGTAACCAGGGGGCCTAGTCTTGGGGGTCTCACTAGGCTCTATCAGACCAGCAAACCTGGTCTTTTTTTTTTTTTAATGATTTTAAGTTTTGTTCCACATTGTTCTCCCACTCTATCCAGGATCTCCTACATCAGTCGCTTTCTGAGTGGTTGACAGTAGTAGCCAGGCATCATCTAGTTCTTCTGGCCTAATGGTCATATAGGCCAAGAATCACATGGTCCACTAGTCCCTTGGACTTATTGTTTCCAAGTGTCTTTGGTTTTCTTCATTTTTATTTGCTCTGAAAGAAGAGACCTTTCATTGCCTCTAGAGCTCTTGTAAGCTTTTAAGACACCAGTTGCTACTCACCAAAGTAGGATGTAGAACAGTGTTTTTGTGTAGTGTGTTATGCCAATTGAGCTTGTTGTTCCTTGCTTCCATGGTCCCTCAGCATAGCTGGCAGTGGCCAAGAGGCCACCACAACTTTGCTCCTTGTTAGCTCTACTGTACACCTAGATATTCTTACAGCACATAAAAATATGCATGTAGAAATTGTCTGCCAACCCTGTATGTGATCATGGGCACACTCCTCCATGCCTAGACATACCTGATCATTCAGTGTGTCTACCCATCTATCCACCCATAAATCAATGCTTGCCATTATTGACAGTGTAGTACTGTATATGCAAAAGGGTCCATCTTTGTTGTCTGTACCTCCCATGTACCTCTCTATCTCTCTTTGTCTTCCTCTTCCTCAGTGCCTGTGGTGATCACTCACTTTTGGTACGTTGCCCTTCCCTTCACCGAAATCACTGCTTGTCTCTACCTGTCTAGCAGTTTTCCTTCCCTTCCCTTCCCATCCCAAGGACCTTATAATGTTTGTTTTTTTTAAATGTTCTTTTTTTTCTTTATTTTTTTTTTTAACTGTGATTTGGGTGAACATTTATACAGCAAATTCACTTTCCATACAGTAGTTCACATACACTTTGTCTCATGACATTGACTACAATTTACCACAATGCAACAGCTCCCCTCCCACTTCCTCCCAATAGTTACCTTTTCCCTGTGTCCATCCCTCCATGCACTCCTGCCCCCTGAACTGTCTCCCTGTGCATGTACAGCCCTGCTTTCTCCCATGATTGTTCTCTCCAAGGAGTGTATCTACCTTAGGTAAATGTTCAGCTCATATGCCTGTCTTTTGTTTGGCTGGAAGCCACAGGTGTGAGTTCAATTCTAGACCTGAAGGGCAGCTAGGGGCCATAGTCTCAGTGTAACTATCTTACTGTGTTTCTATTGGATTATTCATTCCACCAGGCTCTATCAGACCAGCAAACCTGGCCATGCACGTTATAATGTTTTAGGTGTCATTTTCTACGTGCCATGATACTGTTTTCTAATATTTTAATTCCATCTTGTTTTTAACTCCTGCCTAGTATTCATTATTTTTATTACTTATTTTGAGAAGTATGTGTTTAGATTTACTAGCATTTAACTTTTTTAGCTTGCTGTCATCTTTTATACCACATCGGAGTTCAGTTATCCTCTAAGTTATAACTTCCTAATCTGAGGTTCATGGATATCCAGGATGTCAATAACTAGAATGCAGAGAATCTGTAAGGGAAAAGTTACATCTTTATTTTAACTTAGTTATGACTGAAATTTACATTTCTTTCAGTTATGAATGGGCAAATAACCTGTAGTAGTATTTATAATATTGTAATATCTGTAACTCTGGTAGCATAGTGCCTAAGGCATTCCACCAGAAGGCTGGTGGTTCAAACCCACCAGCCACTCCTCGGAAGGAAGCTTGGGCAATCTACTTCAATAGTGATACTGCCTTGGAAATCCAAGGAGGGGTCGCCATGAGTCAGATACGACTCAACAGCAATGGGTTTGGGTTATAACTTTCTCTATCTATAATTAATATCAACAGAAATCAGACATTTTCATGACGTATCATTTGTTACATATATCTGGAAGTATTGTTTACATTCATCACCACTTAAGAACTGTGCACTAGACTTGTAGCTGTTGTTGTTGTTGTTATGTGCCATCGAGTCGGCCCGACTCATAGCGACCCCTCCTTGGGTTTCCGAGGCAGTATCACTATGAAGTAGGATTGTCCAACCTTCCTTCCGAGGAGTGGCTGGTGGGTTTGAACAGCCAGCCGTCTGGTTAGCAGGCAAGTGTCTTAGCCACTATGCTACCAGAGCTAGGTTTTGTTATTTAATGCATGAATAAAGAAGCAAATATATTAAATTGAAAATTTTTATTTAATAACTTAATAACTGTATTTTTATAAAATTTATTTCCTTGGTAATCTTATGTATCTTGTACTGTGGTTTAAAAACATCATTTCAAGAAGTAATACAAACTGAAGACATCATTTAGTATTTTGTTCAGCCAGGGTTTAAGGTTGGTAAACTCTTGTCAATCTTTGTTTAAAAACATCGAATTTGTCATTATCACTTGTGTTTTTCTTTTTTAAATAATATTTTATTATGTTTTTTGAACACATAAACAGAAAATTAGGTTCCTGTTTAACAGTTTCTGCACAAATCATTCAGTGACGTTGGTTCTAATTTTTACAATGTGGTAACACTCATTAATTCTATTCCGGTTGTTCTGTTTCTAGCAATCCGGTTTCCCTGCCCCTTTATCTTTTCATCTTTGCTATAGGGTAATTGTTGACCATTTGGTCTCATATAGATGATTTTTTTTAAAAGACACACAGTACTCACAGGTTATATTCTTTATTTTATGAACTGCTCTGTTATTTACCTAAAAGGTAACCTCAGGGGATAGTTTTGGTTCAAGGTTTAAAATGTATAACAGGGCAGTAGTGTCAGAGTCACCCAGTTTCAACTGGTCTGGAAAGTTTCAGTTTTTAAGAAGTTGAGTTGTATTTCACATTTTTCTCCCATTCTGTCAGAATCCATCTATTGTGCTTCTGATCAGAATCATCAATAATGGTAGCCAGACACCATCTGATTCATCTGATCTCAGTGTAGATGAGGCCAGGTGGTTCTTGTAGATTATTCGTTCTGAAGACTAGTTTCTTCTCTTAATCTTTGGCTTCCTTCTTTCTCTTTTGCTCCAGACAAATAGAGACCAATAGTTCCATCTTAGATGGCCACTCATAAGTTTTTAAGACTCCAGAACTTACTCACCAGACTAGGATGTATGTCATAAACTTTATTAACTATAAAGTTGAATTGTCCCACAAGACAGTGGCCCTATGCTTTCAAACCCAGAAAACCACACACAATATCTAATAAGTATCTTGAGTCAGCCCCAGAGTTACAGGTGAGGAGAGACAACTCAGGGACGCCCAAAGCAGCAGGCCGGAAGAGCAGGAGAAGGGGGATTAAAAGCCAGGAACCCAGACAGAAGAGCAGTCAGCCCCAGGGATACAGGTGA